ATTGGATTTATGTTTGAAAATAATAAAGATGTTAATTAATAAATATTAAAAAAAACCGTGAACCGCCGGTTCAGGGCCGAATCAATAGTTGAAGTTGTTTAAAGAAAATTTGACCTTTGGGTCACATCAAACTGATCCAACGATTGATTTCACAAATTTGACCGTAGGATAACACGATTCTGGATCCGAACCAGCTAGGCCCGGAACTATATCAATTTAAAATAAAAAGTAGAGAAATTTATACCATGTACGATGCATATAATTTTTTATTACATTAATGAAACCAAGTCATAAATAATAGCAATTCAACTAGCTTGGCACTTTTTATTTGCAAAACTACCTGATGTCAATAAATCATTAATTTACATATGTAATCAATTTTTGGAGTAATTAATAGAAAACTTATCACCTTCCCAAAGATCACGACACTTTCTCTCTCTCTTTCCCTCCCCCTCCCTCTTCTTCTTCTTCTTCTTCTTCTTCTTCTTCTTCTTCTTCTACAACCTCTTCTCTCCCTCTCTCTTCTTCTACAACTTTACGCATAAAATTTCTCTCTTCCTACAATTGAAATTTTTATAGCGCGCCTCCAACGACCAGAGATACAACTTTACGCATAAAATTTCTCTCTTCCTACAATTGAAATTTTTATTTGTTTTTTTTTATCGGTCGAAGACGGGCGACCCACGGCTAGGATGAGCGCAGGGTCGGCGGATCGATGGATTGACAGACTCGTCGGGAGTAAGGCGACCACCAAACCGAGGAGGCGCGCTTGCCCTCCAATGACCAGAGATAGCGGTTCGCCAACGCTAGCCCTTCAGTTAAGCTTGGGGAAGGCGGCCCCAATTAAGCTTGGGGAAGGTGGCGTTGACTAGGGTTCCGATGGAGGATTTGATCACAGCCTCGAGGTCAGGGAAGGAAGGGGGCGGGCCGGGGTCCTCGGATTCGTCGATCCCGCCGACGTTGGGGGAAACTTGTGTTCATCAGATTTTTCTTTTATAATAATGATGTTTTTTCATTGTTTGGTTTTTTTTAGTTTATATTCAATATATGTATGATTATTGATTGAAGATGTTTCAGATTTTTGGAGAATTTTTTTCGTTTGATTTATTATGTTGTGGGATATGTTGCGTATATATACAGTATATATTTTAATATGTGTTCCCGTAACTACAATCGATAGTATATGTTGTGTGTATAGACAGTATATGTTTTCGTTTTTTGTGCTTCGTGTGTTTATCATCTGGCCCGTGCTTCATTTGTTTATCATATACTCTACATATACTAAAATAATTTATTAAAATAATTATTATGATCAGTTTATGATATGTATATGATAGGTTATATACTGAACAAAAATTCAAATATCACAATTATGGTTAGATAAAAATGCTATGTAAATAAAAAATCAGGTTATATACTGAATATATACGGACTATAAACGCAATATATACTGTCTATTCAAAAAATGAGCATGTTTGAATATTCTTGGTATATGCAAATATCACGATTGAACAAATTTCTGAATATTCTGGGTATATGCAAATATCACGATTGAACAAGTTCCTAATTAGTAGGTAATATATACTTACCTTTTTTTTTTGAGAGAAAAATCCCACACATGCGTGATTGTAGGAGACGTGGAATCTTAATTACTTTGGTAACAGATATTTAGCCTCAGCACAACTAAATGCACTTCAAATGGTAATCATGCAAATAAAATCTCTCCTTTCGTACATATGCAATATATTTAAATTCATGTGGTAAATAACAAATTTCCCCTAAAAAGTATTGTTTGATTTAAGCGGTCCAAATTTTCATGGTTTACAGTTACAATTTCAGACCGGGCCTACAACTGAAAAAAAAAATAATCAAAATTTTCTTTTAAATTTTGATTTAAAAAATAAAAATAAAAAAACCTATACAAATGAGTAGCCAGGCCGATTCTGGTTAAAACGGAAATCGAGACGGACGGTTCAATTTATTTATTTTTTAAATGAACCTTAATCGACTCAGATAAAAACAGGGGCTGGCTTCAAGGCTGTGGTCAACGGTTCGACCCAGGCCCAAAACCATTTACTTCCGGGTTTGTGACGGTTTGGCGATGATGATCGATTTGTAGACATGTCTACATTTCATAGTCTCGCATCATCTTAAATGTATGGCAACTTTTCTTTAAATCTCTATAAAATGGTCCAATTTGATTTTACATTCAGACATGTCTACATTTAATAGTCTCGCATCATCTTAAATGTATGGCAACTTTTCTTTAAATCTCTATAAAATGGTCCAATTTGATTTTACATTCAAACAAACGCATCTCTCCCATCTCTCTCTAATGGAGTTTGGCAGAATTCTTTCTTTCCTTGAACACAGCTCCATTCTTGTCACTGGCGCCAATGGCTTTCTAGCTAAGAGTACTCTCTCTCCTTCCCTTCCTCCCTCATGCATTTACATATAAGATAATGAATGTAGTAGTAAATATATACATATATATATATAAATATGAAATAATAATTTGTGCATGGGTCAATTGCAGTCTTCATTGAGAAGATATTGAGGGTACAACCAGAAATCAAGAAGCTATATCTTCTTTTGAGGGCGCCAGATACTAAAACAGCCATGTCACGTTTCAACACTGAGGTTTTAATATAATTTTATCTCTGAATTATACTAGTAATATTAATCAGTTTTCTCGTACCATTAATTTCATCTTGGTCCAAAAAAAATTGGATTGCTAAATTTATTTTTTCCAAATAAATTAATTATTTTTGTTTGTGGTGTGTATGTATATGTGCAGGTTATGGAAAAGGACTTGTTCAAGGTTTTGAAAGAGAAATATGGGGACAACTTAGATTACATTATTTCGGAAAAAGTTAGAGTTGTTGCTGGAGATATTACCTGTGAGAATTTGGGTGTGAAGGACCAATATTTGTTGGAAGAGATGTGGGAAAAAGTTGATATCGTGCTTAATTTAGCTGCCACCACCAAATTTGACGAAAGGTATAGTTTTTACACTATATATTATTTTATATATATAGAAATTATGATCCGTCCATATGAAACTTAATCATATACTAGCTAGGGAAAAGATGATCAATTCATATAACTGATCAAGAATTTGCTTTAATTTTCCTTAATTAATTTGTTTATATTATGCGTGCAGATATGATGTTGCTCTTGGATTAAATACGCTGGGAGTTGGGCATGTTTGCCATTTTTCTAGGAAATGCAAACAATTAAAGGTGCTCGTTCATGTATCAACCGGTTAGTGTCCTGGACTATAATAAACCCAAATTTATTTTTAATCGATTTTCATCCTTTTCTTTTCCTAAAATTGATTTATTTTTTTATATTCCATTTTTTATACCATTCTTGGTTAATTAAAATTATAAGTCATATAGATTTTGCATATCTCCCTATATATTAATTCAAAACGTGTTTAGCCTATGTGACAGACTCGCTTTGGAATCATACGTTTCAAAATATATTCCTTTGTATTTAGGTTCGGATAAATTATTTCATCTTACCTTATAAATCTATCTTTTATTACCATAAATTTATTGCCTCCCATAAAGTTGTTATTAATCAATATCCTAGAAATCTCTCTTTCATTAAATTTATTGTATCACATAAATTTAATATTAATCAACATTAATACGACTGAGGCTGAAAATGAATTTTTTCTTACATGTACAAAATGAAATAATCTCTCTTATGTATACAAAATGAAATTTAAGTTTATTATTTAAAATGAATTATATACATGAAATTTAATTCTCGAGTATGCATCGCAAATCCATTTGCTGGACAAAATGAAATTTAAGTTAACAGTACAGAGTGAATTATATATATGTTGTTTATCTATATATTTTGTTTCTATTTGTTAGCCACATCCCAGTGTGTCTTTGATAAAACTTTCTGTTGAAATGAATTATTTAGTTACTGCCATAAATAATTTTATCTACACATCTCAATATTTTTATACTACCATGCATAAAATGAACCATATATATCATTCTTTTTTAACTGAGTGGGTGAGGAGATTATACATCACAAAAAATAATAGCAACGACATTCAAAAAAATTAAAATAAAATTGTCATGTTTATCTTAAAATATTTTGATGTAAATATTTCTTAATTCAATACCCCGTGTAGTACACGAGTGTTGTACTAGTTCATATTATTCCACTCTTGATAACTAATTGTTCTATTTTACGTAATTAATAACTTAGTGCTTGTTTGGATAAGGATTTTAAATCCTTTTTAACCAATTATTTCTTTTTAACTTAAAATCTAATTCAAACTACTTCCAATTCAAATTTTTTCAATATTTTTTTTTNGATAGATTTTGATCGAAAGAACACATAATTACATCTTGAAATCGGCCACAAGCCGAATCTAGTGGAAGGACAACCTCGAAGGGTGCCTAAACACAACGCACCCACATTAATCTTAACTCCCAATAGGAGAATCTAACTTTACTCAATATTATCAATAACACTTATATATAATTACAGAATGCAATTGGTTTAGTTGACAATTTTGCATGTCTTGTAATCTTATGTGGCAAAATATTACACTTTATAATATGGTTCAAATAAAAATTACTACTTTTTTATACCAAATAGTTTAGATTTGGATTGCCATAAATACAAATACTTAATATATTTTAACTATTTCACATAAATTTATTTATTATCTTCTACCTATAAAGTGCATATTATATCACTTTCAAAATTCTTTGTTTGTCCATATTATTCTCTTATGTGTTTTAAATAAAAAATATATAAATAAAACTAATAATGTACATGAATTAGTTTTTAAAAATAGTATTATTATTTTACCTAGTTTTTTATTATAAATTGTTATATATTGTTCCTTATTTATTTTTTCAACTTCAACAAGGTATATAAATATTTTTTTCTTTCATTTTTTATTGTAGATTAAATATTTTATCAAATACTCGTTTAGTACAGGAGCATCGTACTAGCAATTAAATAATTTTAACTACAAGCATCATACCCTTCAATCATCCACACACATCACATTAACTTTAATTCACTGTTCATCAATATACATAATTTTAACTAATAATCACTTTCAATAACTATATCATACGTTTACATTAGATCAACATTAATTATTTTATATTAACTATTCATCCACATAAATAATTTAAACTAACCATCACTTGCAATCACTTTCTGATACTTGTATATCAGATTAACTTTAATTATTTTATTTTAACTATTCATCTCACACATAATTTAAAATAATCATCACTTCTAATCACTTTCTCCAACTATTATATCAAATCAACTTAAATTATTTTATTTTAAATATTATATTAATATAAACTCAAATTTCATCAAACTGAATTACATATATTTTTTAAATTAACTCTGATTAATAAAAAAATCATTCAAAATCAAAATATCCAATCAAAAACTTATATCCAAGCAACCTATTCATGTGCCCAAGAATACACGTACATAAGTACTGTAGCATTCACAATGATTTTGTCCTTTGTTAGTTGATATATAAATAAACTAGTGCGTGGCCCGTGCGATGCACGGGAAAACAATATTACGATTGTATTATAAATTAAATATATAGATAACATTAATAATGATTTATCCATTGTTTTTAAATTAAACCGGGTTGGACACAGTCCGACCTGATGAACCGATAATCGGTTTATAACCAGTCTAGTTCGCTTGAATAAAATATCTACTCTCGAATCAATCAACCCCTATCGATTGGACTGGTAGGATCGATACGATTTTCTAAATAAATTTTGTTATATTTACAATTATTTTAAATAAAATTATATATTTAAATAAAATATAGATTTATAAATTATTTATTAGTTAGTTTAAACATTTGAATTTATAAATTGTTTAGATATCTAAATAACACATTTTATTAAAATTTATTACAAAAAGTACTATGTATATATTATTAAAATTTGTATAAATTAAAATCTAAACAAACCACAAATGATTTAATCAAATAGCTTGATCGTTTCGATGACTGTCCAGTTCTGAAAACCTTATATTTAGTGTACATTAATAAATGTTATTTAATTCACATAAATATTAAAAAAATAGTATATAAATATTCATAAATCATTAAACATGTTGTCATAAAAGTATTGTTAATACGATTATTTGAAATTTGGACTACATCACATTCATGTAATAAAATATTTTCAAAATAAAATTTATATCTAGGTTCAATAATCGATTTGGTGTGATCGAATTGATACATAACTTAGTCACCTGGCGCCAACAAAGTTGTGTCAAGTTCTTTGACTATTTTAAATATCAGCTAAAAATAATTCAATTAACTTGAGATGTACCCTAATTCAATCACCCGATTGATCCAAATAAATTTTCTTATTTTCTTTAAATATATTTAATTTTATGAAATAAAAATATATATGATTCATATAATAAATGTTACACCAGATGATAGTATATTAATTTTATAAATTATATATCTAAAGATGAATTAATTATTGTTACTATATGCATATTAATAAAAAATGAACATAGTAATTTAAAAAAAAATTAAGATTAATTGATTGATTATGCAATTTATAAAATATTTTTAGCGTTTAATAGTTTTTAAAGGCTCAAATATAAAGACCGAGATTCTAAAACTTTTGTTATATTTCGAATTGATATTTTTAAATATAGAGACCGAGATTTTAATGTTGTTCGTTGTTTCTAAGAAAAAAATAAAATTATAAACATACACACTTAATAAATCTTAGCCGTATTTTTTAAATAATAAAATGAGCTAAAGTCCAAAATTTAAAGCAACATTTAATGTTGTATAATTTTTACAGAAAAAAATAAGAAAAATAATAAAACTTACTATTTATAGACTGCATTAAATTCTGACTTATTTTTTTGCTACTATTTTTGGTAAATGGTAATTCTTATTATATATATATATATAGATATAGATGTCCTTAAGTGTGCCCAAGAATACACGTACATAAGTACTGTAGCATTCACAATGATTTTGTCCTTTGTTAGTTGATATGTAAATAAATGTCCTTAAGTTTTAAATGATGTGAATGGTGTATTCATTTGGACTTTGATGTGCCCAAGAATACACGTACATAAGTACAGTAGCATTCACAATAATTTTGTCCTTTTGTTAGTTGATATATAAATAAATGTCTTTTAAGTTTTAAATGATATGAATAGTGTATTCATTTGGACTTTGAGTGATATTTTGAGATTTTTTTATATTAATTTTTTTTTTTTTTTTTTTCAAATTTCTTATGAATCCTTAAAAATGTTAGGTATGAGATCTGAGGTGAGATTTTGTTTATGATTTTTGTTTATAAAATTTCAATAAATGTAAATAAGTCCTCATAAATTCCAATGACAATAAGTTTAATAAGTCGTGATTTGTTAAAACTTTTTCAAATTTGAAATGAATACCTCGAGACTTTTAATAAAGTCTTAAAAAATTCAAATACACCTGGATTATAAATTAAAATACTACAAGTTTTTAAGAATCTTGAATGAATACACACTATAGGTAAAAATTGCTAAAATCGATTGTCTGCTAGAGTCTAAATTAGATTAATAAGTCTTTTTTTTTTCTTTTACATTAACTAGACTTAATCCACTTTCATTTTCATTGGACATTATTATTTTTATTATTATTATTTTTTTTCACATTGAATCCATTTTCTACATGGTATATAACTATTTTTTTTTTAAATATATCCAAAGGAAAAATGCTACAACTATATAATAAATGTACATAGAGGTGTACATAACACTCACATTGGTGTGGTCTACTTAATTTTTTTTATGGAAAATACTACAAGTACATAATAAATGTACATAAAAGTGTACATAACACTCACGTGGAGTGAGGTCCACTTGATTTTTTATTTTTGGTGGGTCCCACTCAATGTGAGTACTATGTACACCTCTATGTACAATATTATGTACCTATAGCATTTTTTTTTATTTTTTGATAAGACTCACTTAATGTGAGTGTTATGTACACCTCTATGTACAATATTATGTACATATAGCATTTCTCTATCCAAAGTATTGTGGTTCCTCTAAGAGCCAATTTTCTCAACGATAATTTGGTTGTACATATATGTTAAAATATCTATCAAGCTAGGTATTTAGGTGGGCTTCACTTACAGTATATTGAAGGCATGTGTAATTATTTATTATCAAGTGTTTCCAGTGACGGATCTAAAAAATTCACTCAGGGGGCCCCGACTTTTAATGTTAAATAACGAGCTTGTAGTTTAAGTCGAAACGCTCATTTCATATAAAAATATATTTACTATAAATTAATACAACACCCATCAGGTTTTTAAAAAACTTAGAATTCATATCACCCTAAATCTTTAATAAAAAAAAAAGAGATTTCATGTATTTATAATTTAAGTTCAACAACATAATTTATGGAAAAATAAGTTTATTGGTTGAAAATTTGATTTAATTTGAAATTTTGCAGCACATTGCATGATATTTTGTTAATGAGAGCTTATCAAAAGAACATTTTGTAGGAAAAAAAAATAAAGTTAAAAATATGTGATTACACACAAACAAAAAAAGTAAAAAATCAACATTCAAAACGTCACAATTCAACTAAATATATAGTCGGTTTTATAAACCACAGAACTCTATTACAATTAAGAGACTGAAAGAATAATCATTATAAATATTTTCAAAACCTTATTTGAATATGTAAATATATATATATATATATATATATATATATATATATATATATATAACTTTTAAAAAAAATCAGGAGGGCCCCCCTGGGCCTCATCTCCCTCCGTCCCTGTTTCTAATTTTCTGTTGATAAATGAACTGATTATTATTTCAAACACTATAAGGCTAAGTTTGGATTGAAGGATTTACTGAGGGATTTGAAATCCATAAATTTCAAATTTACAAGTCCAAATCCTCATGCATGTTGGGATGGTGATGGAAGTTGGAGGATTTTCAAATTCATACTAGATATTTTTTAGTCATTATTCTGAAAGATTTTAATGACTCCTCAAACCTAGTCTTTTGAAATCCACTGTTTATTGTCGTTGATGATCACGCCGTCCGCGTTCATTTAAGTTCATCACCACCGCGAGTCAACACCATCAGTGCGAGCTAAACAATTGATTTATAATATTTCAATATATCCATTCAAAGAGTGTGCAAATAAAAAAATTTATATTTCAAAAATTTTAAAATCAAGGGATTTCAAATCCCTCAAAACAAACGGAGCCTAAGAGAATTATGGTAATTCTATTATGTTTTGTTTGATTATTTCGAATGGTTTGATTCGGCCTTTTCTAATAATCGACTTAGTGAAATCTATTCTTTTATATATTGGAAAAAGGAATGATCCGTGGGGCTCCAGATTGTTTTCTGATAATGGATCAGACTGTACCAACATACTATTACAAGGACAAATCTGTTGTAAATATTTTTGTTGAAAAATTCAATCATTGTAGAATTTTCTTTATTCCAACTACTGGAATTGAGTGAGATTGAAAAGATCATAACTGACTACTACAAGAATCTTTACACAACTCGAGGTTCAACTCATGGGCACACATTGCTTCCTCTGCTCCAGCACAGCATAACCCCTGAAATGAATGATGAACTCCTGTCTCCAATCTTGGAAATTGACATCAAAAAATCCCTTTTCAGTATGCACCCTAATAAATCCCCCGGGGAGGATGGCATGTCTGCTTTATTCTACCAGCATTTCTGGCCAATTGTCAAGGATGATATTTGCATAGCTGTTCAAAGCTTTTTCACCTGTGGACAAATGCTCAGGTATTGGAAGCATACCCTTATCACTGTTATACCTAAATGTCAAAATCCAACTTCCATTACCTAATTCAGACCCATCAGCTTGTGTGCAGTGTTTTATAAAATCATCTCAAAAATCCTTGCTTTAAGGTTAAGAAACTGCTTGCCTAGTTGTATTTCTGAATCTCAAGCAGCATTTCTTCCTGGAAGGCAATTGCTAAACAATGTAGTAATTGCTCATAAGGCCTTTCACTACCTGAATAGACACAGAAGTGGACCAAACTGTTATATGGCATTAAAGCTGGATATGGCCAAAGCATTTGACAAGCTTGAATGGAAAAGCATCCAGCTGACCATGTTGAAATTGGACTTTAATGCTACTTTTGTTAAATGGATTCTGACTTGCATCACTTTTCCCACTTTTTCTTTTAACATCAAAGGTCTGCTATATCACTGCATCTAGAGGTATCAGACAGGGGGATCCTCTATCCCCCTACTTATTCATATTAATTTCTGAACTTCTCTCTGCTAGATTGCACTCTGAAGCTTCTAGAGGGGTTTTCAAAGGCTTAAAGCTGGCCAGAAGTGGACCTGAAATTACACATTTGCTATTTGCAGATGATCTGCTTATTTTCTGCAAAGCTGACATTTTCCAAACACAGAAGCTTCTTCATATCTTAAATGACTACTCTCTCTTCACAGGGCAGCATGTTAATATTGAGAAGTCTTCTATCTTTTTCAGTAAGAATACTTCTTAGGACATGCAGGAAAGACGTTGTAATGCTTTTCATGGTATCCAGCTCCATTTTTCTTCTAGATATCTTGGACTCCCTTTAGGTATAGGGAAGTCCAAGAAGGAAGCTTTTGGCTATGTGATTGAAGTGGTGAAAAGCAGAATTCTTAGTTGGAAGAGCAAATGGCTTTCCCCAGCGGGTAAGGAAGTGTTGATGAGGGCTGTGATTAATGCACTTCCTGTTTCTCAATGTCTTGTTTTGTTCTTCCTCTGAATCTATGCAAGGAAATTGCTAGTATAAGTGCAAGATTTGGTGGAGTAAAGGGGAAGATTTTAACAGAGGTTTGCACTGGATAGCTTGGGATAAACTAACTCTTCCAAAATCTTATGGAGGGTTAGGTTTTCAGGACATCCAATGCTTTAATGAAGCTCTGACCAAACAGATTTGGAGATTACTGACCCAACCTGACCTTCTGGTTTGCAGGGTTTTAAAATCAAGATATTTCCCTGACACCTCTTTATTTGCAGCACATAGGAAAAACAATGCCTCATGGCTCTAGAACAGTTGGTTGAAGGTTAAAGAGAAATGTGGAAGGTGAATGCTATCTGAAATTGGAAATGGAAGGAGCACTAGAGTTACAGAGGATCATTGGGTGCCTGACTTGAATGGTAGAAAGCTGGTTTTCAAACTTGGAGCAGACTTGACTTTAACTTGGGTTCATGACTTTATCTCACCTGATGGTAGAAGCTGGGATGTACAGAGGCTTAGACAGAGCTTTGCAGAAGTTGACTGCTCATGCGTATTGAAGGTTTCTTCTTTGAGCCCTGATGTGGAGGATAAATGGATGTGGAGACAAGATAAGAAAGGTAAATTTACAGTTTCTAATGCCTATTCCTCTATCATTCAACAGAAAATTCTTCAATTAGACAGACCTCAAAGTAGTACAGCTTTCGCTAAAGACCAGAAGGTGAGAAACAGACTTTGGAAGCTGAAAGTTAAAGGAAAAATAAAGCATTTCCTCTGGAAAGGTGTTTCAGGAATTTTGCCAGTTGCAGTGAACTTGAATAAGAAAGGTATTGAGATAGATAGCAACTGCAGAGTATGTGGCCTATCAGAGAAAACAGTGGAACATGTGTTCTTTTTCTGCCCCAAAGCTCAGCATGTTTGGAAGCTTTCACCAGTTCAGTAGGATGGACCTATAGGACTTGACACAATGAAAGACTGGTGGTGGTAGCATATTTTTAATCTCAATCACAGAGACACTTCCGAATCCCGAATTCAACTCACCACTTACATATTATGGTGGCTTTGGAAATCCCGGAATCTATGGATTTTTAAAGGTATTTCAAGGCCGACCCCCCTAATTGTTGAAGCTGCACTCAAGGAATGGACAAAATATGAGGAGATCAACCGGCTTGTGCCCAGAGAGAATGGAAAGCAATGAAGATGATGGTCTAGGATCCCAGGATCAGTGGTAGTCACTCATATGCATTTCTTTTCTTCTACATTGTTTTTACTTATTTGGCTTTAGGGGCTTAAGACTCAGTTGTTGGTTAACTGCTTAGGCTTCTTAGATTATGGTATATTTTTGTTGCATTTCTAGACCACCTGCGTGTGGATGTCCCTTATTTCGGCTTTCGGTATTGAACCATTCTGTATTGACTCTTTGATTTTGATTATATGAGTATTTCTATTGTTCCGAAAAACAAAGCTACTGGAATTTACCGAAATCTATTCCAACAGTTCGACTTCAAATTGAAAGGTTATAGAACTAAAATATTGATTGGAATCATCCATATTTGTACTTCATTCAAAAGATTAACTGTTTGAAATATGATACTTTTTAAAATATAAAATTTATATGTAAAATTTCATATATAGAGGATCTAAAATTAGTAAGTAAAATAAAATAAAAATAAAGAATTTCACATGTACACCACCACACGACATATCCTAAAAATTTGATGTGTTTAACTTGTTTCTTTTTTCAGCTTATGTTTCCGGTGAAAAGGAGGGGCTCATATTGGAAAGCCCTTACAAAATGGGGGAGACACTCAATGGAACATTGGGATTAGACATTGATGAAGAGAAAAAATTAGTGGATGAGACCCTAAAACACGTAAAAGATGAGAATCGCTCTGAAGACTTCATTGCAGCAACTATGAAAGACTTGGGAATCCAGAGGTTATATAGATTCCTTATTTTATTAAAATAATTAATATATATATATATATATATATATATATGTATGTATATGTAGGGGGTAGATCCAATGAGACCACTCCTTAAAATGAGTAAAAAATGAGTACGCAAGACTCAATCTTAACCACTCATTTTGTCTAGATCAAGGATTTATGTTAATCAATTAAAATATACATTAATTAAATAATAAAAATAATTATTAGTTGACTCCGGCGTTTATTGTTGACTCTGGCGTTGACCGTTGACTTCCGGCGAAAATCGTTGACTTCCGGCGTTGACCCGTTGACCATAATATGTATTGTATATGAAGTAAATATGGTGAGACAAAGTTAGTGTAAATATGTTGCAAAGTTATTGTAAAAATGTTGCAGGGTTAGTTGTTTTTATTTGCAATTTAGTTGTATTCAGTTTGCAAGGTTAGTTCTCTGTAGTTGCAAGGTTAGTTGTCTTTAGTTGCAAGGTTAGTTGTCTTTAGTTGCAAGATTAGTTGTCTTTAGTTGCAAGGTTAGTTATGTCTAATTGCAAGGTTAGTTCTGTCTAGTTGCAATGTTAGTTTTCTCTAGTTGCAAGGTTAGTTGTATGTGGTTGCAAAGTTAGTTCTATCTTGTTGCAGGGTTAGTTGTTTTTATTTGGAATGTTTAGTTGTATTCAGTTTGCAAGGTTAGTTATTTTTAGGTGCAAGGTTAGTTGTCTTTGGTTATTGGGGTGGTGGATCCACAACCTGTATATAGTCATGACCCTAAATGGGCCATAAAAGTCACAGGTCTACATAAGTCCAATAAGAAACTGAAAAAAGAAAATAAAACGAGAAGAAGAAAAAGACAACAACTAAATTACCACTTCATCAGCGAATCTCGAAAATGGTCCGGTTTTTTCTTGTTCCTTGTGCTGCGCCTAATTCGCTGTTTTTTCCCGGAAGCGTTAGTGTAGATCTGGGGAGAATGGGGCGGGGCAGGGGGGAGGAGAGAGCTACGATTTGTTTTTTATGCATGTTTGGGGCGACAGTAAAGTCATCTTCAAATTCAGGAAAGGCGAGCGAGTGGTCTGGGGAGTCCGGTTTAGACTTAGAAGAGCAAGACTCAACAATCACTGAATTGGGCTTAGGTGAACCTGGCTCCAATGAGTCGGGTACATTGCATGGTCCCGCTTCAGGGAAAGAGGATGAGCCAGGGATTTGGGCCTGGGAAGGAATCGGGCCTAATAAGGAGGGGTTGGGTGGAGCCTTGCCAAGGGGAGGTCTCAAGTCTGAAGGAGTCGGGTACGGGCCAAGACTAGCGGTGGTCGAAAGATCAGAAGGAGGAGGAGAAATATGAGAAGAGGGTTCAATGTGGGAGTTTTTCCCCTTGTTGATTTTGGCGGGACGAATGGTTGGATTTTTTATGTAGCAAGTCGAGTCATCGTGTCCTACATGAGAGCACTAGGAATAATAGTTTGGTAAGCGTTCAACCTCGACAGTGAGTTCGACGCGTTTCTTTCCGCAAGAAACGACGATGCTAGTGGGATGGGGGGATTCAAGATTGAGAGCTACGCAAAAACGAGCATATTGGAGCCGAGTTTTTTTAGTGTGGCATCATCGACTTTTAAAAGGGTGCCAAAGATGTTGGCGATTGTTCTAAGAGCCTTTAAGTCAAAGCAATGAAGGGGGAGAGCTGGGATTTTGATCCAAACTGGGACAATAGGTGGTTCTTTTGTGAAATCGAAATCGGCAGACCACTTGAAAACCCGCATAGGAAAATTTAGAATAGAGATTTCGCGTTTCAACCAAAGTTTGGTGGACGTGTTTGGATCATCGACTTTGATCAAGACGTGATTGGCTTGAAGGAAAAGAATTTTGCATCCGGAGAAACCCAAGAGAGAGAGGTTCGACCGAATAGCCTCGTTGGAGAGCTTGCCGAAGGAGAATTTTCCAATGAGGGCATATTTGAGGTCCTCCGACATTTTAGAGAATTTCGGAGGGGAAAAAAGGACCTCCGGGATGCTGCCGGATAGAGAAATAGTGCCATAGGAGAAGGGCTCGGGTGGGACGGTTTTTTGGGCAGCGGAGAGGTAGGATTTTGTCGGTTTGAGGCCAGCGATTTGGGTTTGGATTGTCGGTCCAAGGGCTAAAAGGGAGGGTTGGGCCGAGTTCGGGCCGTTCTGGAGGGGTTGGGTTGGGTTCGGGTCGAATTGGAGGAAGAGCTAGGCTGGTTAGGTGAAAAAGGACCCAACAGAATTGGACCTAAAAAATAGAGGAGAATTGGGCTTTGTAAAAACAGGCTCAGAGGGAGAGGAACTTACCAGCCCAAGAGTGGAAGCCCGAGGAGATGATGGTGCATAGGCACGTTGAGGCTGCGCCGCCGCTGTCTGACCGAGCTCGGCGACAAATCCGACAACTTCCGTCTGGGCAACGACGTGATGTTCCTTCGGGGCTTCAGAGCTCGAAACGGTGATGACGGTAGGAGCGAAACAAATCGGACCGCCTGAGGATTTGGTGGCCGGAGAGAAGTGCTGGCCGGAGGAAGCTTGGGCCGCCGGCAGACTGAGGAGGTACTCCAAATCGCCGGGAGGTCATTCACGGGTCATATTTTGGTTTTGGGAGACCGCCGCTAGCCGGCGGCGGTCCGGTTGACTGTTCGGGGTACTCCGGGAGGTACCTGCAAATCCGATGCAGCTCTCCTAACCGGTTGACTGTCTGGTTGACCGTTGACAACTAACCTTTCAACTATGTTAGTTCTCTGTAGTTGCTAGGTTAGTTCTCTCTAGTTGCTAGGTTAGTAGTTGCTAGGTTAGTTCTCTCTAGTTGTTAGGTTAGTTCTCTGTAGTTGTTAGGTTTTTTTTTTTTTTTAACAAACAACGCCCCGGAAGGGCGGGGGATTTGGCTGGATCCCCAACCTGTGCATAGATCAGGGCCCAAAAACTGGGGGCCCAAAATATCAACGTACAATAGTCTACAACATTCTACAGAGTCTCACTAACAAAAACAAAACCAAAAAAGAAAAAACGAAAAAACCAGAAAAAGCAATAAAAAGTCTGACATCAGGCTAACAGATGCCCGGAATAAAGATCCAATCTAATGAGAATAAAAAACCTAATCTACTAAAAGCAGAACGATGGATATCCAAGTTGGTCAATCTGAACAAGCGTGCGTAGGCGGAGTGGGGCAGTGTCGGTCTGAAATGTATGTGTGTCTGGTATGGTGGCGCCAAGGCTGGCAAGGTAGTCAGCAGGTCTGTTCCCCTCACGGAAAATGTGCGTGATCCTGTGATGGACAGACCGGAGTAGAGCTCTAATACGCATAAGCGGGTGCTGAATCTGCCACGAGCCCTGGTGGCCCGAAGTCAAAAGCATGGCGATAGCCGCAACGTCTAACTCGATCCAAATATGGCTAGAAAGGTGGACAACAATCTGAAGGCCGATCTATAATGCCTGAATCTCTGCATCGTAGCTAGAGGAGGCCTGAAGGGGCTCGTGGAAGGCGGTGATGAGGGCGCCGCTGTGGTCCCGAATCAAGCCTCCTCCTCCGGCAACTCCGATATGACGATCAAACGAGCCATCAGTGTTCAACTTGACCCACGGAGGGTCAGATCGAAGCGACTGGCCCGAGGAGGCCGAACAGGCGGTGGGGGGGCCACCATGTAACAGTGTGGCGGCGTGAAGCCTGTCCAGTCTCGGGCCGTGAGCTTGCCCAATGCTATGAGGAGTGAAATGTGTCTCTCTACCTGTAAAACAATGTGAGAAAACAAAATATTAATATTCCTATGCTTCGCACTATTCCTTTCTGTCCTGGTGAACCAAAGGATTAGATAAGGAATGAGGAAGCCCACGTGTCTAAGGTGTGTGCTCTGTGAGAAAAAACTCAGGAGCTCAAAGAAACTGTTTGTGGTGGGTAGGGATATATGGGTCCAAGTGTCAAAATGCTCCTACACTCTCCTCACAATCTCACTCTCTAGAAAAAAGTGGGTAACGGTCTCGGAATCATGGCCTCTCAGAACAACACACACACCGAGAGGGGAAGGAGATCCCCCTCGCGTGTAACACAATATCCACGGGTATCCGGCGCAAGAGGAGGCGCCAAAGGAACACCGAAATGGTAGAGGCGAAAAGGTCGCTCCAGATGGCCCCAAAGAGAAGGTTAGGCCGATCTCTCAGCCTGATCTGCTCCCAAGCCGAGGTAGTAGAAAACACACTCGATGATGTAAGTCTCCATCTCATGCCATCCGAACCGTCCTCCGAGATGGGGATCTGCTGGATCTGATCTAAAAAAAGCTCGCTAAAACCCGCCCCAGAGCTCAACTCCCTATCTAGCTTCTCCTTATCCCACGACCCGTCCGTCCAAAGGTCGCTCACAAGCAGGTAGGGGGAATGCGACACATGCCTATCCTTAGACAACGGCCTATCTGTTGTGTTCGCTAGTACCGTACGGGCTTTAAGCAGCGGAATTTAAAATTTTTCAAAATAAGTATTTATCGTATAAATACAACACCCGTACATCCTAATTGCGAATTAACTGATAGTCATCTTTAAAACATGCATCATATACAAATTTTGATTTGTTATATAAAATAAATACAAATACAAAGTATTTACCGAATGTCTTGAACTCCTTCAACGACGATGTGGATTGTGGGAATCGGTTCCCGGTTTGATAACTTCAACGGATTGATGTTACTCACTTTAGGAATCCAAGTGTCTTCCCTCTAAACGTATCCACCCTATGAAGCCCGGTTCCGACGACTTTCCTTCGCTAGTAGGAATGACTCGGTTTTCTCGTATAGGAATATGTATGGATTTTATTTGGAAATATCAAGAACACTTTCTTGATGTTTATGAAGAACTCTTTCTTCTTTCTAACACTTAGAAATTTTAGGAATGAATCCAATACTAATGCAAAACCATTTTGCATATATTTATACTAAACATTTTAGCATAAAATAATCAATATTTAGTAATATTTAAATAAAATATAATTTTATTTAAATACAATTACTAACTTTTGACTTTATATATAATAAACAATGTGAGGTTGTTCATAACCACCATCAACCACCATCTATTATATTCATAATTATAATTTTAATCCTTAAATCATATTTAAAGATAATAGAATAATAAATCTTGAGAATCTATTCCAAGACTTTATTATTATATTCATTTCCAAATTTTCATCCATATAATAATAATCATATTATTATTATTTTGGTTTGGAAATTTAAAATCCAATTTTAAATTCCAATATATTAATTTAGTAATTACCTTAATTACTAAAGTAATATCCAAAATGTAATTAACCAATCTTATTGATTAATATATTCCTTTAATTGACATCTAATCAAATTAGATATTGTCAATTAATTCTAACTCTTTAGAAATACATTTTTCACCTTTGTTCATAATAGGTGTGACCTTTTAGGTTCACCTTAATACTAGTAGTGGGTTTACAACACTTTGTAATTTGAGTTAATCATATTAACTCTTATTCATGAATTAACCCTTTAATTCAAGAACCCACATATCATGGGAACACCTAGCAAGTAGCATGAATCTAGTAATAAGTGAATAGCGAGTAAACCTATTCCGATTACAAGTGCATACATGTAGAATCCCTTCGACATCCAATTTCCCGATTAAGTCTTGGGTATGATTTTGTCGAAACCCAAATTGACTTAATACTATGATTCTATTTCAAAGTGTAGTAATCCGGGTATGAATCTCCATTCATCTCTGCCTTGGCCAAGGACTTTGAATTACTAACATTGAAACACATAGGAAATTCACTTATCTTCATAAGTGTCGAATCCTTTGTTGGCCACTAACAAACTTCCATACATATTAACATAATACCCAAAATATCCCTTTATACGATAGTGCTAGCTACCAAAAGGATAAATCAAAGTAGAATGTAATATGCACAAAGTTACCATTGTGCCTCAAGTCTTAAGGATTAGTCATGTACTATTGTAACATGAAAATTCTTTATTCGACTGAATAAATTCTTCATTAAGAATTTTCATACGGTCATGTTCAGTGAACTTGTTCTCTAACAAGCACCCACATAAATGTACTTGCGTCTTACGCTAATGTTGATGGAATGCAACATTCTTGTCCAACAAGCATACAAACTATGTGCAAGTCTTTTATGGATTATTCGATATCCCATCTCGAAACATCCATCGACTTGGAACTGTATTTAAGATCACGGCTTTCAAGGTATGTTCCATGATCACCATCTCTATGCGCAACCATACCTTATAACCATAAGTGATCTAGGGATTTTATCTTAAGTGCAATTATAAGATAAATGCTTTCTCTTAAGATAAAGAAATGCCTTATTCATAATATAATTCCAATAGACTGTATTTACAAGTAGAATACGTCCAATTAGATTGGAATGTCGGGTACCCTACTCTAACACTATCACCTACCCACCACTCATCCCAGAAACTAACCTCCCCCTCGCCCAAAACCCAGAAGGTGTGATCCTGGGCGCGCCTACCGACCCTAGTGAGGCGCCGCCACTGTCTGCTATCATGATCAACTGCCGTCACCCAACAAGGGTGGTTGGCACGTCTAAGGCAGTACTTGCCGCGAAGGTACTGAGCCCAAAGCGACTTTCCCTCCCTAAAGAGGGTCTGAAAGTGAGCAACAGCCGACTCCCGAATCTGAGCCTCCTGGGTCAGGGATGACCCATCAGCCTTGATACTATGGATGTACGACTTAGCACGCTTCTGCCTAACATAGCCCTAGAAGAACCTAGTATTCCGCTTGCCCTCGGCCACCCAGCGAACGGCCGCCTTCTGCTTCCAAAAGTCCTCCTCCATAAGGAGTAGGAGCTGGTACTCGGCGTGGTAGCGGTGCATCGCAGTTCTATTCTCTGGAGTGGGGTCCAGGTCATAGGTCCGCTCAGCCGTCGCGTGCGCACTCTAAGCCGTAGAAAGGCACTGATGAAGGTTTCCAAAAACATCCTAGTTCCACTGTCTCAACCGACGCCGCAGTCTTCCGAGCTTTGCCTCGAGATTGCGCATCCCGAAGAGCCCAGTTGACTGAAGCCAGAAATCCCTGACAGTGTCGTGGAAGGAGTGGTGGCGAACCCACATGTTCTGGAACCTAAAGGAAGAGCGGCGGGGGGTGCTCGAAAATTGGCACCGGATGAGAAGGGGTGAATGGTCAGATCAAATCGAGTAAGGTGTGTGACGGTCGTAACTGCAAACACCTTCGCCCACGCCTCAGAAACCAAGGCACGGTCGAGCCTCTCTTTGAGTCCGTCCCTCACCCACGTGAAGGGCTTACCATCACATCCAGCGTCAATTAACTCACAGTCCGCCACCGCCTGAGCAAAATTCCACACCTCCCGTGACCGGTCCGAGCAGCCACCCACACGCTCATCGGAATGCAAAAAGATGTTGAAATCGCCACTAACCATCCATGGCAATCCCTCCATACTCTCGGCAATCTCACGCAAGGTGTCCCAAAGATCATATCGCCCGACCCTAGTACACTTGGCATAAACCAATGTGTGAAAGATGGGCTCTGAGAGGTGGGCAGCTGAAAGCTCAACG